TAATAATAATAATAATAATAATAATAATAATAATAATAATAATAATAACGCTGTGTCTTATATTTTAATTTCAGGTTATTTTTTCAGTTTTTATTTTTATCTTTATTAAATAATATTATTGCATTTAATAATATAATAAATAATATTGTCTTATATTTTAATTTCAGGTTATTTTTTTAGTTTTTATTTTTATCTTTTTAAATAATATTATTGCATTAAATGTTTTTATATATTTTTATATTAGCAGCCTAATTTCTACACTATTTCATTTTATATCCATATCTCTTTATATTATATATGTTTTTTTTAAATATTAGTAATTTAGCAATGTGCTGTGTGCTTTTTTTGTTTTTATTTTAAATTTTTTATTTGTTTTTGATGTTTTATATGGTTTATGTTTTTCTGCTTTATAATGTTTATTATGGTTTGATATTTTTGTTAAACTATTATTATTATTATTATTATTATTATTATTAAAGTAAAATAATAAAATAAAAATAGTTTTAATAATGTTATTAATGTTGTTATTGCTAATAATATTAATAATAATAATAATAATAATAATAATAATAATAATAATAATTATTATTATTATTATTATTATTATTATATCTTATGCCTTATATATTCATTTGATTTGATTGATTATATATTTTCATATTGGTAGTTTATTTTTATATTATTTTAACTTATATTAATTATTTGGCAGTGTGTGTTTATTGTTTACAATTTTATTTATATGTTGTTTTTTATATATATAATCTATTTTATTTTGTGTTTTTTCAATTATTATTAGTGTTTGGTATTTATGTAACAAAATTACTATGTAACCCTTGTTGTCTAAGCAGCTTTCACAAACGAACGAACGAACAAACAAACGATCGAACGAAGAAGTTGAAAGAATCAGCTAAAAAAGCTCTTTTAGTCTCACATGAGGCCTAGCGATATGCATCTGACAGCTTTATACTTCTATACTTTAATCTTCAGATCATTGGCTTTCTGGTGAAATCCCCATAATGAAAGTTTTCTACATAGCATTTTAGTTCCCCTCCCACTGGGGAACTTTTATTATAGTTAATATTGTTGCTATAATTGTACTCATATTTTGAATTTACCTTTAAATAATATATTTAATATTTAATATCACACTAGGTGGGTCCCAAATCACATATACACTATTCTATGCCATTTTGTAGTAAAAATTAGTGTAAGTAGTGTGTCCACACTGAAAACTTTAATTACACGAAGATGCACTTATTCAACCGTTAAACAGAATTGTGGAATGATGGACACTTCAGGCACTCATTGCTCACTGCTTTGCTCTCGTATCGAAAGGGGTGGAACTATAGGGCATTGATGTTGGATTACTTTATTTATTTTGGATTGTGAAAGCAAAATTCTCCTACGAGAGTGATTATTTTGCCTCCCAATGGTGAATGTGTTTATACTGATGGCAGGTTTATTTGGTAGTTTGGTCATATATTTTACTAATTTAGCAACTGCCAAGCATCATCTGGGAAACGATTTGAATTTCCACTTATTAAAAAAACATGAGTGTTCAATTTAGGATGACACTACATACATATAATATGCTGTTAAGTGTTTAAGTGCATAAGTACATACTAGTGCATAAGTGCATAGTGTGCCATTTGGAACGCAGCTACTGTCTTTTCTTAGCAGCTTCAGTTAAGAATAACACTTATTGTTGTTCATTTCTCTGCAGTTGTTTTGAGGACGACGAGCCGCCATGCGCTGAACAAATCGAGTACTCCTCTTCATCCTACAGTGACCCGTTGAGCAGCAGTGAACTGGACAATGAAGTGAACGGAAACACCTCTAGCGCCGAGGAAGACGACGACGATGTAACCATCTGCAAAAACAAACGGAGAAAAAACAACCAGACGTCCCGACTCGTCCCACGCTTCATACAACAGGAGGCACTCAGCATCAACAGCAAACACTGCAACGGCATCGACATCAGTAACGGATACCTCTATTAAAGCCCTCATCTTTGTCTTTTGTGTTATTTATATTTTATATTAGCACCTCCTAAAGTCCTTGTGAAGCAGAAATAGCTACGACTTTTAGATCAGTATGGTAAAGTACTTCCAACTGAAATGGAATATTGAGTCGGGGTGGGGCTTTCATTTTGTGCATCATTCCCTCGTAGGAAACTAAAGGCCCTTTTATACTAAACATAGTAAAGATATTGTTCTGAAAAAATGTCAGTGTTAAATAAATTATGATATAGATAGAGAAAAATGTTATCATTGGGATCACTTTCGAAACAAATTTTCCCAGATGATGAATAATAAAACACTGACAACCAATCCATTAAAATGTAAAGCTGTGTTCACACCGAACGTGCATTAATCGCGATATTCGCACGTAAATAGACGCATGAACATTTTGAGTTTACTCGCTTCATTTGTGCGTCAAATCCACTTCCTTCAAATTCACGTCAAATTCACTGAGCAATAAACACAGATTTGCATGATGGGCAGGGCTTCTTTCGATGACTCTAGTTTCGTTGCTAAATGGCTAACATGGATTTTATTGACACAATGGCTATGTTTATGTGCTTTATGAAGGCTGAAAAACAGCGTTGATACGTTTGGAGCCGTGTCTAAGTTCATTAGATCCTTTCGGGTGCATCCAGCTCTCTGAGGGCTTCTGTCTGCCTGTGAGTGTAGCTTCATTGCTAAATGGCTAACATGGAATATTTTGAACGAATAGCTGTGTTTATGTTCTTTACAAAGGCCGAAAAACAGTGTTGATTCATTTGGAGCCGTGTCTGAGTCCTCTAGATTCTTTCTGAGGTGCACCCAGCTCTGTGAGCTCATAATCTCCTCCAGAAACGTAGCCTGGGTGATGGAGGCTTTCAGCGGTGCTCCTGACTGAGCCAAGCCCAGTTTGATGAACTTTTGTCAGTGTCTGCAGGAGAATTTCCCCCCTGGAAACCAACAAAAGGTGCTAAGTCATAATCACGCCCCCACAAGAGTAAGCTCCTGATTCGTTAACACAGCCCAAATGATCGCTGAAGGTCAGATTTTCGAAATCAAGCGATTCGCACGTTAAGCACATCAATCGCGCAAAACGCTCAACTCGTGCTGCCTCATTCGCGCCGCCTCATTCTCGCGTATCGTGCCGCAGGATGTCTATTCGTGCCTTTGCATTGACTTAACATGTACTGTAAGTCACTCGAGTTTTGACGCTTCTTCCGCGTCTGACTGACATATAGAAGTATAAAAATAAAAGTACCTCGGGTATTCAGTATAGTTTTAGCATCTTTGTGTTGCCTTCTTTTTCAAATGCTAAGGAAACAATTAGTTTTATTCCTCTAAATTTAACAGTGATTAAGATCACTAAATATTTTTTGATTAGATTGCGCATGACATCACAAGCTGGATTACCTTAACAGATGCACTAGTTGCACACTGAGGATGCCTGCTGATTACAAGGGGTAATGCTAATTTTTAAGCATATTCTAAAAAGTAACAGATTTCTATTGCTTGCCAGCGTGGACGTAAATATATGTATTGTTATATTTCTATTTGTCGTTACTTCAGATGCGGAAGCAAATCGTCGGACTTTAAATTTACCAAAACAAACTTTTTTTGTTTAGTGGATTCATTTGCGTGCATTAATTGTTCACCTAAAGAATAACAACATGCCCTAGCAAAGTAAACATTGTATATTTTGATTTCACATGGACTTTAAGAGCAAGACAGAAACATTTTGTTATTTAGAGTCTGAAATGAGACATTTGGTAGATTGCACTTGTTTTACCACATAGAGAATATTAAACAGTGTTTATCGTATAAAGAACAGCACTTGAAAAGTAAGAGTAAAGTTTACTTATATGTATTTATTTAATGTTTACGCTTGAAAATTTGTCATATTATATATATATATATATATATATATATATATATATATATAATGTGTGTCATAGTGTTACGTGTATTGAAATATTCCTAATAATAATAACAATGATACCGATGATGATAATGATAAAAACAGTAGGTTTTTGTATGAGTAAACTGTTCTAATTGAAAGTATATTCAAATTATGCAAAATATTGTTGTTATCATTATTATTATTATTAGTAGTAGTTGTAGTAGTAATGTCATAATTCTAATCGTTATTGTATAATAATAATAATAATAATACTAACATGTACTTATTTTTACGTATGAGCTGCATTAGATTATTAAATGATAAAAAACTTATTATATTAACAAATATTATCCCTTGAATAATTATTCAAATTTTCCTTCTAATTTTGATCCTAATTTTGAATCATTTTCAAATAAATTAGGTAGTCATTTTGTAGTTCACATAGTGCATATTACTTTTGTTTGAAAGTATGTTCAAAGCATAAATTTGAATATATTTATTATTATTATTATTGTTGTTGTTGTTTTGAATATTATTATTATTATTATTAGATATGGTATTACTTTGTTTTCTTTGTTATCGTATTTGTTTGTATATGCATGCATGCATATTCTGTAAAAAAAAAAAAAAAAAGAACAAGTGAGTTGATTAGAAATATTATTAGGCAAACAGGGTACAGACTGTCAATATCTGTTTATAAGAACAGTCAGATTCAAAGCACTGAAACATAGACAGACATTAAAATACAGTCAGATACAGCTGCTTGTGGTCTTTCTCTTTCCTTTCTCTTTGTCTTTTTATCCAAAGCCTTCTGTTTTGTTTTAATAATTGGGTCTGATTGGTCAATGGTGACATATAGGCTCTATTCCAATTCTATTTTTTGTATCCCTACCCCATTAAAATTGATCCCTAAGAAATGGCACGCCACTACAACTCCTGCAAGCGTCATCATATGTCATCGCCATCTCTTGCTTCATATGAGATTGACGATGGCAACTGCTTTAATTATTCCAGTTGCATTTTTTTGGTATTTATTTTCAGGAAATCCCTGAAGGTATATATCAAGTTATCATAACAATATAATGTGGCAATAAGATCATAACTGTACTGCACATTTACACCATGGCCATATTCATCTATGGAAACACATGAACACAATTTACACAGCATTAACATTATACTCAGTGGTGTAAAGTAACTAATTACAAATACTCAAACTACTGTAATTTAGTTTTATTTATTTTTTTGCTCAGGATTTTGTAATTTACTGAGTAGTTTTAAAAATGTGTACTTCTACTTTCCCTTTGGTACATTTTTAGTGCTGTATCTGTACTTTTTCTCCACTACTGTCCTTCAACCTGCAGTCACTCCTTTATTTTTTCTTGTCTATGGGGATTAGAAAAATCAGTCATGTGATTCCTGTCCAATCAGATCGCACACAGGAGGTAAATCACCTCATAATAAACTACCTCAAGACCCAGAGACTGTTTAGATGCAGGTCACTGTTAAGAAGATGACGGATGTTTACTGTATGATGACCGAAATGGCCTTAAACAACAGGCATAAGACATTAACATAATGTCAGATTGACATTGTAACCTAACGTCATCGGGGTGTTGCATATTGTTTGGAAATGAAAATCGGGTTGACGTCAGAACTCAACGTCAGGACGAAGACAATGTCCAATGTCCAACCTAAAATCAACCATACATCAATGTCTAATGATGTTAGAGCTTGACGTTGTGTGGACGTTACCACTATGACTTCTATCAGACGTTGGATTTTGGTTGCCATACTTGGTGAATAAATGTCTGTATTTGGCAATGTCAACATGATGTTGGTTTAAGATGTTGGCTCGACGTTGGACTTTCTAACAACCTAATATAGACCAAATATCAACGTAATTTGACGTCATTATTGGATATCAAAATAATGTCCTTAGACGCTGGCTAGACATTAAACTTTGGTCACCTGACATCACAACCTAAATCTAACCTAATATTAACACCTTATCACGCTGTGTGCCTGCTAGGCAATAACTAGATACACTACAGAATGTTACGTTTACACACATTCACAAATTAAATGTAAACCAGCTTTTAACAGTGAAATACTCACTACTCTCTACTCTTGAGTACTTTAGAAAAGGTCTACTTTTTACTCATACTTTGAGTAATATTTACAACAGATACTTTTACTCTACTTGCACTACATTTTTTGGCAAGTAATGGTACTTGAGTTAGATTTTTCAGTACTCGTTCCACCAATGGATATACTAGACACTGGCTCATTTACAGCCACTAGACTTTTCTGACAGGGTATTCGAGTGTCATTGAGTGCCACATGTGAAAGTATGTGTTGTGGCACTGCTATACAGGAGTTATTATTAGGGATTATAGATAGTGAAAATAAGCAGTTTTTATTTTAGCTTTTTTAAAATAAAAAAAAAGCATGACGGTAAAACAAGAACACCATTATGAATATATTAAAACATATGCTTATTTGTTGTAAAAATTAGTAATAATGACAACAAATAGTAATTTGTGGATCTACTAACCGTACGTTCACATCGAAAGCGGCGACAGCGTCAAAGTAGCCGGAAGTCATTCATTTTCAATGAGAGCCGGCGGCGATAAGCGGCGAGGAGCAGCGCGGCGCGTCTTCGCCGGCGTGAGCGTCGAGGAGAGTTGAAATGAAGTCAACTTTATGGTAATGAGCTATGACGCGGTTCGGCGGCAAGCAATCAGAATGAAGACGTCCATCGCTTGATAGCAGTTCAGAGAACACAGACCTGTGAACTTTGGTTCCGACCACAGTTGTTCCCAAGGGTTTGATTATTGCGGTCGCCGGATTTCCAATTATTTCCAATTTTTTCCTGCAGGAACATACATTAAATAAGTTACTGGCGACTTACTGATGTTCATTAATGTTATATAAATTTATCTTAAAAAAGCGGGAATCTCACGCGATGTGACGATACAAAACAGTACTGCTGCTTCAGGATATTTCAGACATATGGACACATATTGGATAAATAGAGCAAAGCCACACCACACGCAACTTGATCTTCTATTGTTGTATGAAATTGATAAGAAGTGCGCAACATTTTCACACTAGAAACACGTTTTATGCAGGAATGTAACTGATATGCTGCAACGGCTCCTTTAAATACGAGATCAATGTAGCAAGTTTTGACGCTCTCGCCGCAGGAGCTGTGAAGGCAGAGAGCGTTGTCGCCAGGGCGGCCAGAGCGACCTTGGACGCTCTCGCCGCTTTCGGTGTGAACGTACGGTAACTTCTGTGTTTAGCCATGCTGTCATTGCAGATGGTGTATTCTGGGAAATTTTCTTACTCCTTGGCTTAGAGTGTGGTACTGAAGTATCTTCATTTCCAAGGCCTGTCTAGTCCTTCCCCTTATTCCTACGCCTTCAAGCTAAAGAGAATTGGGACACTACTACCCCTTTATGTAAACATGCAAAACAAAGAGTTGGGGTAAACGGAAGGGCCTATTCGTAGAATTGAGATTGGGCCTTAAATGTATGTCATTAAAATGTGCATGCTTTAATTGAGGATAGACAAAACGTCAAAAAGAGGACAAATTGTTGGTGCACATCTGGTGCATCTGTGATCAAAATAGCAAATCTTTGTGAAGTATCAAGACCTATGGGATTTAGTGTAATGTCAGCAGGCCACCAAGAAGGATAAACAACATCCAACAGGAGTAAATGTGGACGCAAGGGAAAAATATGACTGAGATTTCTGTGTGCAGGAATTGTATCCAAAAAAACATACCTGAGCTGGTATGAGCTGCCCAACTTACTGCAGAATTACATGTGCACATCAACTCTCCTGTGCCCACCTAAATTATTTATTGGGAGCTCCACAGGGTCCAGGCTGCTATAGCCAAACCTTTGATCACTCGTGCCAATCCCAAATGTCAGTTTCAGTGGTGCCAGCAGCGAAAATCTGTGGATAATGTAAACATGTAATGTTCTCTGATGAGTCTACTTTCACTGCCTTTCCCACATCCAGGAGAGTTACGGTGTGGAGAAGCCCCAAACAAGAGTACCACCCAGACTGCTGCATGGCCAGAGTGAAGCATGGGGGTGAATCAGTGATGGCTTGGGCTGCAATATCATGGTATTCCCTAGGCCCAATACTTGTGCTAGATCTGTGCATCACTGCCAAGGTCTACCAATCCATTCTGGAGGACCCAATGGTTCAAAAATGGCAGTGCCGGGCATCAGGATGATAATGCACCAATACACACAGCAAGGTGACAAAGTGGTTTGATTACCATGAAAGTAAAGTTGAAAATCTCCCATGGCCTTCATAGTCACCAGATTTACATATTATTGAGCCACTTTGGGGTGTTTTGAAGGACAGAGTCAGGAAACGTTTTCCTCCACCTGCATCACGTAGTGACCTGGCCTCTATTCTGCAAGAAGAATGGCTCAAAATCCCTCTAGCCACTGTGCAGAACTTGTATCAAAATCCTGAATGGTTTAAGCACACACACACACACACGCGCACGCACGCACGCACACAAACACATGCACCACTCAAAACAACCAGTTTCTCTACACAGAGGAGCAAAAAAAATCGAATTCACTGAATGTAAGTCAGTAAACAGAGCATCAGCAGTAGCAGAATAATATCCAGGGAGTGTAAAGTGAGTGTGTTTTAGTCTGAATGACGGTAATGAGTGTGTTGTCATTCAGGGCCGGTAGTTACTGATCTTTGACCTCCAGCGAGCGGCTGCTTGTCCTGTCCTGTAATCTCAGCCTCATTGACACACAGAGATGCTGGAATTAGTCTCTGGTGGTCCGTGATGGTCCGCTGTGTTCATTGGTATTCGGCGGGTGCGAGGAATGACACACACCACTGCTTTTCTTAATTGTGTGTCTCTCCAGGTGTGTGAAAGACGACGCTTCTCTTTCTGCCCGATGAGCCTCCTAAAGCTCTGATAGTGATTATTATATTATCACAGCACAGCTTCTGCTAGCAGGAGGATCAGCTAATGGCTACAGGCATTTCCATTTTACTTCAGAGACTACAGGGACAACAGAAAGGACAGTGACTTGGAAAAACAATCAATCAATCAATCAATCAATCAATCTGTCTAAATATCAAATTGGAACTTTTGGAAAATCTGAATTTAACAAACAAAGAAAAATGTGGAAGTTTTTATTTTGGAAGAATTTTGGCTGATATATTGTAGTATTTTCTTTTTAAAATAAATTAATCTCTCCATCTTTTTGTCTGTCTGATTTCTGTCTGTATGTCCATCTTTCTGTCTGTATGTCTGCTTTTATGTCTGTCTGTATTTATGTCCATCTTTATTTCTTTCTGTCTCTATTTCTCTGTCCTATTTCTGTCTGTCCATCTTTTTGTTTATCTATATTTGCCTCTGTCTGTTTGTAACTCTGTCTGTCTGTCAGGCGCTCTGCCTGTCTGTAATTTTTTTTTGTCTCTGTTTGTCTGTCTATCCATCTTTCTGTCTATCTGTGTCTCTGTTCACATTTTTGTCTGTCTGCCTGTCTGTCTGTTTGTCTGTCTGTATCTCTGTCCACATTTTTGTCTGTCTGTCTGTCTGTTTGTCTGTCTATCTTTTTGTCTGTCTGTATCTCTGTCCACATTTTTGTCTGTCTGTCTGTCTCTATCTCTGTCAACATTTTTGTCTGTCTGTCTGTATGTCTCTATCTCTGTCCACATTTTTGTCTATCTGTCTGTATCTCTGTCCACATTTTTGTCTGTCTG